TGAGACACAAGAAGAATGCAGGCAATATCTTCCCCCACTGCAAGCTATTCTTAGAAGCTATAGTGATACAAAATAGTAAGATATTAGAACCAAATGAAGCATACCTATCAATTAAATAGAACTGAGAGCCCTGAATTAAATTCTCACATAGATGGGTAGTTAATTTATGATAAAAGAGCCAAGAGCATAACGTGGAGGAAGGAAAGTCTCTTTATAAATAGTGCTGGGAAAACATGGATAGTCACATGCCAAAGGATGGAATCAGATCATCATCTCTCACAATGCATAAAAGTCAACTCAAGATGAATTAGACTTGCATGTTAAATGCACAGTATACACAAAGTACACTGAAGAAAACACAGAGAATGAACCCCATGATGCTGGCATCAGTGACATACCCTGGGCCTGAACTCCAACAGCCAGGGAAAACAGAAGCACAAATAAACAAAAGGACAAGTGAACACCACCTAACACTTATAAGAATGGCTGACAACCAAAAGCCCAGAAACAATGAGTGTCCACCAGGGAAGGACTGGGAGAAAGGGACCTGACACACGTGGGAATGTCAACCAGCCCAGCCGCTACTGAAAACAGGACGGAGATGTCCCAAAATATAAAAAATAGGTCTTCTGTATGATCCAGGAATTATACTCCTAGGTATACCTATCTGAGAAACACAAGGACATGAATTCAAAAATGTTCATTACAGTGCTAGTTTTAGTTGCCAGAATCTGGGAACATTCCAAGCACTCAATGACAGATGAGTTAACGGAGAAGACGTGGTATATATACACAGTGGAATACTGCTCGGCTCTAAGTAACCATGAAATCTTGCCTTTTGTGATAACATGGGGGAGATTTGAGGGGGGAGGAGGGAGGTCACGGTAAAATAAATCAGAAGGAAAAAGAAATATTGGATAATCTCATTCATATGTGAGTTACAGAGAAACAAAGCAAGGGAACAAACAAAACCAAATGGAACCGGGGCGGCGGGGGGGGGCGGGGGGGCAATGAACTGCGGTGGTCTAACATATATGCTTTGCAGAGGTTTAAAATTGATTCCTAAAACATATACAGGCTCGTGTAAAATGATGCATATACAGATATAGATATTCAGGGTCTCTTGTAATTCCATATGAACTTATGGATCAGCTCTTCCATTTCAGTGAAAAGGACTTGGTATTTTGATAGGGAATGCGTTGAATCTTTAGATTGCTTTGGGTGATACTGATACCCTCACAATGCTAAGTATTCCTGTGTGGGAACATGGGTACATTTTCTTTTATTTAGGCAATTTAAAGTGTTCCTCAGCAGTGTTTTGAAGTGCACAATTTTCATTTCCTTCATTTCCTATTTGTTGAATGTTATTATAAATTGAATTGCTCTCGTAATTTCCAATTTAGAATAATTGCTGGTGTAAAACTATCACTATCACTATCACTCTGTTGTTCATCGATTTGCTCGAGTGGGCACCAGTAACATCTCCATTCATCCCGGTCATGTGCTAGTGTAGCCCGATGGCATACTGGGGGCTCTTTCAGGGTCAGGGGAATGAGGACCATCACTGTTACTGTTTTTGGCATATCGAGTATGCCACGGGTAGCCTGCCAGGCTCTGCCGTGTGGGCGGGATACTCTTGGTAGCTTGCCAGGCTCTCCAAGAGGGATGGAGGTTTTGGGGAAGCCCCTAATGACCTTTACAGGTGTTCCCAGTCAGGTATAAATGCGGGCAGGAGACTCTTGGTAGCCTGCTGGGTTCTCTGAGAGTCAGAACTAGACAATAAGAGTTTGCGGCCACGCGCTTCCGGGAGCTTGGTTTTAAAATCTCTGGATCTCTGGTGTAAAACTACAATTAATATTTTGTGCATTGATTCTGTATCCTGTATCTTTGTTGGATTTATTGCCTATGGCAACTTTTGTGAACACTTTGGGATTTTCTTTTTTTCAGTTGTCTTTGTTCTTTTTGCCACACTTGATTGTTCTCAGGGTTTATTCCTTACCCAATGCTTAAGATTCACTCCTGACTGTGCTCAGGGGACAACTTGTGGTGCTGGGGATGGAACGGGGGTGAGCACTGTGTAAACAAAGTGCCTTAACCCCTGGTCTCCAGTCCTCTTTGGGATTTTCTATACATAGGGTCATGTCACCTGCAAATAAATAGCTCTACCTTTTCTTTTCTAATGTGGATATCTTTTATTTCCTTTATGGTTATTTTAAAAAAAATTTTGGTCAGATCCAGGGGTGCTCAGGGATCACTCCTGGCAGGCTTGGGGACCATATGTAGTGCTGGGGATCAAACCTGGGTCAACCACATACAAGGTAAGCATGCTATGTGCTGTACTATCACCCCTGCCTTTACATCTGCTTTCTTAAATGTAAAGGCATGTCAATAATTAAGTTTCTTAAATGTAAAGGCATGTCAATAATTAAGTTTCCCAATATGGCATCTGATTTCCAATTTTTATGTTCACTACTATTTCATTCATTTTGCTCCTCCCCTCTTGGTTCAATTATTTTCTTCCTAAGATATATATCTTTTTTTTGGGGGGGGGGGGAAGACGTTGGTGAGGAGTACTGGTTTACTCCTGCCTCTGTGCTCAGGGATCACTCTTGGCAGTGCTCAGGAGATCATATGTGGATTCAGGGATTCAAACTGGGGTCAGTCACATACAAGGCAAGTGCCTTACCCACTGTACTACCTTTCTGGTCCCTAAGATAACAACTTTTAGGAAAGGCATATGCTAGGCCCCAAGTTTGATCCCTGGTACTATATGCCCATGTCCCCGGCCCCCAGCACTGCTAGGTTTACCCTGGTGGTTCCAGCACTGCCGGACCAGGGAACATCACATTGGCTGAGTATTTGGGTTTTATTTTGTTTTGACCAGTTCTGGAAAATTCTAAGCTAGAATCTTTTAAAATACTCTCTCTGTTCTTTACTTTGATATCTCTTATTACATATACATTATATTCTCTCTCATTTTTACCTGTCTTTTCATGATTTGTTTTCCCTTGATCTTTGTATTATCCTTAATATTATCTTCCAAATTTTGAATTCTCTATTATGTTTGGCCAAGAATGAATTCCCTCTACTATTTAAAAGTGAGTGGCCTTTGGACCAGAGATGATGCAAAGAACTGGAACATGTGCTCTGTACGCGGGAGGTCCAGGTGTGATCCCAGGCACCGCCTGGTCCCCAGAGCATCCAAGGGAGCACCCCAAGCCCCCATGCCTCCTCCTCCCCCAATACTGAGCTAGGAGGAGTACCCAAACACTGCCAGGAATAGTCCAAAACCAAAAACATCTAGGAACTCTTTTTATTTCTAGAATCTTTAGTCCTTTAAAGAATAAATGGTTTTAATTTCATTTGCCTGTTTTACCCCAACTTTGTTCTCTTTTTCAAACAACTCCTATTACGGCATCTCTTGGGGATCCTAATCTTTATCTCAAACTCAATTTAAAACCATTTTATTTTCTCTGGAGTATACTAATGTCTCCGTTGCTGAGTTTATTGGCTGGATTTTCTTAGCATCCGTTTTCCTCACTTCAGTCTGGAGACTCACTTTCAAACCAGGGAGGTTCCTCCATCACTACTGACTCATGCTCTCATTTTCTTGGGCATTCGAGCCGAGTGCAGAACTGGGTCTCACCAGGGGAGGACAGGGGCTTTGGGCTTAATGTAACTGAGAGTATGCCAGAGTTTGGGAATGATCGCCTGAGTAGTGCTGGTCACGGGTTCCTGGCTACAAGGCTGTGACCTTTTTCATCCTCCCAAATATTAGGGTTTTTTGATTGTTTGGCTGGAGTGATAGCACAGCGGTAGGGCGTTTGCCTTGCACGCAGCCAGCCCGGCCGAGCCGGGTTCGATTCCTCCGCCCCTCTCGGAGAGCCCGGCAAGCTACCGAGAGTATCTCGCGCACATGGCAAAGCCTGGCAAGCTACCTGTGATGTATTCAATATGCCAAACACAGTAACAGCAAGTCTCAAAAAAAAAAAAAAATGGAGACGTTACTGGGCCCGCTTGAGCAAATCGATGAACAAAGGGAGGACAGTGACAGTTTTGTTTTTTTGGGGGTCACACCTAGTGATGCACAGGGGTTACTCCTGGCTCTGCACTAAGGGGTTACTCTTGGCGGTGCTTGGGGGACCATATGGGATGCCAGGGATTGAACCTGAGTCAGCCGTGTGCAAGGCAAGCACCCTACCTGCTGTATTAGCACTCCGGCCCCACCAAATATTAGTTTTATGAAAGTCATTTCCCACCTAACAACATAACTTTTCTGGAGTCTCAGTGAAAGGGCTGGCGGTGAAGACAGTGCCCACCGCCTTCTGCCCTGTGTGTGACACCACCATTCCCCACGGCACAGCAGAAATGAACACTGAGCTGCCTGGGCTGCCGCCGAGCCCCAGGGCCCAGGGGACCTGTGGTTTCAGTCCCATTTGCTTTGTGGTTTTGTTTAGTTTCTGGAACACAGGAACATTTATGTTGATTTTACACATGGCTATATCCTTTACATTTTTCTCTTTAGAAAATTTTATGTATCATTACCATTTGTGTTTGGAATGGATGGGTGGGCCAGCCCCAAACACTGCAAGCTATTATGACCAGAAATCCAAAACAAGCTTTCAATTGGCAGAAAAAATGCTCATTCTCAGCAATTTTTCATTGTCTTTGGCTAAACTAAAAAGTTCTTTCACAGATAGCAATCTTACCTCCAAAATCAAACCTCAAAGTTCCTACAGATCTCATAAGGGCCATATGGCCGTATATATCATATGCCTACTGCTGACTTCTCTGGACGCATTCAGGCTTCATTGAATCAATTACTTTGTTCCATAAACCGCTGGGCTTTTCCCATGAAATGTAAAGTTTAAAAAAATTTCTAATTTAGCAGCTGTGCAATCCCGCCTTGCCCGCAACATGGGCTCACGCTCCGGATCCTCCTCTGGCTGGTGGCCCCCGGCTGGTTCCTACAGGTCTGGCAAGCACTCCCGCCGAGCACCATGCTCTTCTATTCCTTTCTCAAGTCCCCTGTGGGCAAGGTCGTGGTGGTGGTGGAACTGTCCATTCTGTGGATCAGTTCTCAACATCAAACTACCTGCTATCAGTGTCACAGACCCTGAGAAATACCCCCACAGTTCTGGGCTGCTTTATCCGGGGCTGGTTGGTCCGTATGCTCAGTTGCCAGCAGATGAGGCTGGCCCACGATTGCTACAAGATGCAGCAAGGAGGGAGGTCCTGTTGCAGAAGGAGTGATGTCCTGAGGTACCTTTGACCATCCTGTCCCAGCCAGGACCCTTCCCGACACAGTGGGGATGCTGTGTTTTGCTTCAGAAGTGAAGCCTTTATTTATTTATTTATTTTAAAAGGAATGAATATTGGGGCACATCTATGCTCTGTTGAGGAGAGGATAGATCCACAGACTGGGGGGGGGGGGGGGCGCTGCAGTGCCTGTCCTGGCCCAGAACCTGCCATTCTCCTCCTTTCCTTAGGGAGGGGAGACTCTCCCTAGATCTCTCAGGGCAGGAGGTGATTTTCATTTGGGGAGGTCGGAGGAATCTGTCTCCCGCATCAGGAATTTATGATGCAAATTAGAAAAATAAATCTAATCTATAGGAAAGAGCACAAAGAATTTCCTCCTAGTCTTCCCTGAGATAATGCCACCTTGACCTTGTCCCCCTTACAAAATTACTGTTTCTCAGAATTATCTTTGTGGGTTGCAAACCTAATCAGCTCCTTCATCCTTACATGTGATATGTGTGTGTCCTTAAAAGTAAGGAACTGTCAGGGTCTGAGAGGCAGATCCATGGCTGAGTACATGCTTTCCATGCTGGAGACTGGGGTTCGATCCCTAACACCCCACGAGGTGCTCCAGAACACCACCCAGGCACAGAGCCAGGAGTAACCACTGAGCACCACCAGGTGTAAAACCCCGAAAAAAGAAATTCTCCTACATAACCTTGGTACAATGATAAAATCAGGATATGAAAACTGATATAAGACCCAGATCAAATCTACAGACCTTATTAAGAGTTCCAGCTGCCCCCGTAATGGAGGAAATGAGAATTCAAGAGGACACCCTGCGTTCCTTTGCGTTCCATGGCCTCTTCAGTCCTTGAATCCCAAACAGTTGCTGAGACTCAGCATTTCATGACGCTGACATTTTCCAAGTGTCTGGGCTACTTCATAGACCGCACTTGAGTCTGGCTTGGTCTAATGTTTCTTCGTGATCGGATGCAGCTGAGGTCTTTGGGCAACATTATCACAGAAGTCAGGATGAGTCCTGTTCAGTGCACTTGCTGTGGATTTGTCCCATCCAAATGGGACCAAATGAGGGGAACTCCAATCCATAGTTAAAGTCTGCAGGTCACTCGCTGTCAAGTTTCCCCTTGTGATGAGGAAGGATTGTGTGGGGGACATATTTAGAGGCTGTAGAAATAGACTGCTCTGAGAAGGGAGCACCAAATAAAGGGTGTTGGGAGGTTCCTCTCAGGATGGGAAATGCGTGATGAGAGTAGACTATAGTCCGAACAAGACAGCCACTCAATATCTCTTTCGCAAACCACAGCACTCAAAAGGAAAGAGATAACAAAAGGGAATGCCCTGCCACAGTGGTAGAGTGGGATGGGGGATGGGGGGGAGGGGGGGTGGGAGGGATACTGGGACGGGTGGTGGTGGAGAATGGACACTGGAGGAGGGATGGGTATTCGATCATTGTATAACTGAAACCGAAGCACAAAAATTTTTAAGTCTACAACTGTACCTCATGGTGTTTCACTAATAAAAATTTTAGGGGGAAAAAAAAAGAAATAGACTGCTCCTCCACACTTTCATTTCCTACTTTCAGCATCAATTGCTAATGCTTGCCAGAAGCAATAACAATACTGATGGGTTGCCCAGTGGTGGTTTTCCTCAAGCTGCATCATTTTATCTACATTTCTAAGTGATCTTCTGCAATAAAGAGGAGTTTATCCTCTCATCATTCATGTACATCTGTCTGGACAGATGGGTTCTTACTTTATAATCCTTTATTATCATTATTTCTTTTGAAACTCAAAGGATCCCAAATTTGACTCTGGAAGTCCTTTCAAGCAGATGTTTATGTCCTTTGGACAAACTAGCACAATTCTTTGCTCATTTCCTTATTAATCAAATAAGATTATCCAGGCTCTACTTGTTCTTTCCCTGACCCATCTTGGAACCAGCTATTTCTCTAAGAAATCCAAGCAGCTTTTAATAGAGAATAGTATTTAGGATTCAACCCTGGTAGGTGCCAAATGTCCTTCTTGCTCCAAATGTGTCTTTGTGGGCTGGAGCGATAGTACAGTGGGTAGGGAGTTTGCCTTCCATGCGGCCAACCCATGTTCGATCCCTGGCATCTCATATGGTCTCCCAGCACCACCAGGAATAATTCCTGAGGGCAGAGCCAGGAGGAACTCCTGAGCATCGCTAGGTGTGACCCAAAAATGCAAAAACAAACAAAAAAACAAACAAAATGTGTCTTTGCTTCCAGACTCTCTCATAAGACAGGATGAAGAGATAAGATGAAGGTAGATATGTGCCTACTTTTTTGCTCTTGCTATTCCTGCAGTGCTTAGAGGACCTGCAGTGCCGGGAACCACATTCAGGGCTCCCATAGATGCTGCTGCCCTTTGAGCTACATAGATTTCCATAAACATGCCTGAATGTACGGATACACACACACAGATATTCATATATTAAAAACCACGAGTGCATGCCGAGTCAATTCTAATTCACACTGTAGAGTACAATCTATCCGTTTTCCCCTCCTATTTTTTTCTTTTTAAAAGCCTGAAATGTTCTCTTCTCACAATGAGAAGTCTGGCTCCCTTTACCCATAAATATTTACTTATTTGTTTTGTTGGTGCAAAAATGTCTAACCCTGTGCCTCTGTGATAAAGCAGTCTGCTATCTATTGTTCAATACTTGTTTGTAGTGTTTTAGTACTAGCCTGAGGGCACAGAGTCTAAATACTCTTGTTCAAAAGTTAATCTCCCAACTCCCTTCAGCAAGTTGGTGTTACTCGTCAGTAGAGCTGTGGGGATGTGCAGTGGGAGAGCACTCACGTTGCATGCACGGGGCCATGGGTTCAATCCCAGCACCTTGACAGGGTTGGAGTGAGGTTTATGAAATGGGGATAAAAGATATCACTTGTCTTGCATGTGTAAGGCCCTGGCGTCTATCATGGTACTACATAGAAAAAAAAGAAAATACAGGTCTCTTAATTTCTTTCTGTTGGTCTTTGATGTATGTATTTGAATGTGTGTATGTCCCTGCATTAACAGATTCCAAAAGTCAGATCAGTAATTTTAGGTAGCTGTCATTTCACTCTGACATTTTTTGGTTTGTTTGCTTTTAGTTTTGGGGGCCTGCCCAGCAGAGGTCAGGGTATACTCCTGACTCTGTGCTCAGAGGCCTTTCTTACAGGGCTCAGGGGAGCATATTGGGTACCGGAGACTGAACCCAGGGCTCCTGAATGCAAAGTTCCAGCCCTATGAGCTTAGTATTTCCCCAGTCTGGCAAATGTGATAACCACTACACACACAAAACAAACAAACAAACAAACAAAAACTGCCTGTCCAAGTAATGTAAGCTCTTCATATAATTTCGTTTAATAACAAAAGCTATTTATCTGGAAAAAGTCATACAGGCTTCTATTGGGTGGTATCTTACTGGAACTGTAAAAATTCAATGTTTCTTCAAGAGAAACTAAAAATGTACTAAAGATATAAAATGTGAGCTTCTTTTATTTATTTAGTTAGTTATTTGGTCACACCAGGTGGTGCTCAGGGAACCATGCAGTACTGGAAATTGAATTTGGGGATCCCAAAAGGGAAATATGCGCTCTAGACTTTTGGGTTACTGTCCCAGACCTACAGCGTATGTTCTAAGACATTTGCTAATGTCATTTGTACACACACACACACACACACACACACACACCTTACTTTCGAGCACTAAATAGCATTAAAGAGCATTAAGTAGTATTAAATAGCAAAAATTCAAGGTTGATTTAAATCACTTTGGTGACGTGCTCAGTAACTCAAGGATAACGAAAGAAAGAGCTGAATACAAATGGGAATCGTAGCATATTTTTACAGTCATTCGCATTCCACATATAGAAACAATAAAGAGTAGAAGGAGTACATTAAAATATTCCAATTTATTCTCAATGTGCCAAGAGGCAGTAATTCAGAGCTCCTACAACGTCTTGAGGGACCATCTGGGATGCTGGGGATTGAACCTGGGTTCAGCCACGTGCAAGGGAAGCGCCCTCCCCACTGTGTAATCGCTCCTGACCAATGCTCCCGATCTTCTACAGCTGCCTCAACCCAGACTGAAAACATCCAAAGAGCCTCCTCCTCAACACTTAGACTAAACAGGAGCAGTTTAAAAGAAATTTTTTTTTCTGCTTTTTGGGTTACATCCGGCAATGCACAGGGGTTATTCCTGGCTCTGCACTCAGGAATTACTCCTGGTGGTGCTCAGGGGACCATTATGGGATGCTGGGAATCGAACCCAGGTCAGCCACGTGCAAGGCAAACGCCCTAGCCACTGAGCTATTGCTCCAGCCCCTGGATGGTAGCAGTTTAAAGTAATTTTTTTTTCATTTTGGGTCACACCCAGCGATGCACAGGGGTTACTCCTGGCTCTATACTCAGGAATCACTCCTGGCAGTACTCAGGGGACTACATGGGATGCTGGGGATCGAACCCAGGCCGACCTCGTGCAAGGCAAACACCCTACCTGCTGTGCTATCGCTCCAGCCCCTTAAAGTCGTTTTAGCCTATGCTCTTCTCTCCTTTTTTCCTTCCTAAATCCAGCATATTAGAGTAAACTATTGTCTGTTAGCATTGGAATCATCTTTTGCTATTTTGAGATAAGTTTTATTTGTAAGAAATCTTGTCCAGACCTACCTCCCCTAGCCTACCCCCCCTCAAAAAATAAAAAAACCCAAACTTGGTGGGGAAGTCAAAGGATAGTACTGTGGGTAAGTCCACTCGTGGCATGCGCCCGACCCAGGTTGGATTCCTGGCACCCTGGAAAGTGGTCCCCTGAGCATTGCTGGGTGGAGTCTGAGGGTGCCTGAGCATGAGCCCCACTGAATGTGTAGCCTTGGAGGCTCTCAGGACTGCCAGGGGCCTAATATCCCCAGTACCACAGGCCCCAAGCAGCATCACACTGGTCCAGCTGACAGAGACTTGTGAGTGGATCTCCTGAGCACCACTTGGGAG